TGTGTGTGTGAGTGTGTGTGTGAGTGTGTGCGTGTGTGTCTTATCAGTTTGAGGTCGGCCTCCATGCCTTCTAGAAGAAACAGAAAACACACCTGACTACAGCAGGTTTACAACAGAGCTGCTCTCAGTCTCTGAGAAGTCCTACGAGAGTGAGAGAGGGAGTGGCCATATGAACACACTACTACTGACACATGAATAAAAAACTGTTTAGTCTGAACTATGAACATGCACGTAGATACATATATATTACTGAGAGGTCTGTGACCAACCAACAATCTGAGGTGTTTCCTGGAAAGAAAAGATGATTTGGTTCTAGTTACAGGGAACAAGGAGAGTGACCAGTTCATACACTCCCAGTTATTTCTACCAGAATATTGAGGCTTTTAATCAGGATGTCAGCTACACATGCAAAATGTGTCAACACACAAAAATACTATTCAGCATAAGTGCAAAATAATGAACAACAATTCAATACCTGCGATAAATTAATGAGTAATAAACATTCAGTGGGGTTTAAATTGAGTAATTTCTTTCATGGAACTCAACACAACTAATCAAACTAAATAATATAACCGTGTCACAACTTTCTGTCTATTTCCCCTGCAACTAAAACCAAACTACACAAATATTTCCAGGAAAGTTTCAAGAAATGATTAGGAAACAACAGATCTGTAAAATAAAGTGTAGTAAAATAAAATATATTATGTTATATTTGATATCCAACATTAAAACTGATGCGTAAGTTTTAGTAAGTACAAGCTGCAGAGTGACCTATTTGTTATTTTTGTTAAAACTTACAGAGGCTGAGAACTTAAACATTTTACTTCAATTTTCTAAATTGATATTAAGTGTTCTTTACTTGGCGTTTAATAAGTCCCATCATTATTCTGGGGCGTGACTCTGCTGGAGTGTGAAATAAAATCTAACGTATGAAGCAGAGTAAACCTCCACGGACAATCTCAAAATACTACACCCAGGATATAGCAGGGCTAATAAAGTTTTAGACATGACTATTAGGGAGGCACTTACTGTGTGTCACTACTTAAAGGAGACATAACTCTGAATTTTAAAGGCAGCAGTATTTCACAGACCTGCAGGAGCAGCCTGGGAGCTGTGTAGCGTCATGCTCTCACCTTGGCCGGCTCCTTGCTGGGCTCGCTGTACAGGCTGCGTATCCTCCTGCGCTCCAGCAGCTTGTTGTCAGTTGGCTGAGCCTTCACCTGCTCCCCCTTGAATGTGGCACTGTAGCTGGTCTCCCGACTGGTCTCCACCCCGGGGGGTTTGTACTGAGACGGAGCTTTGATGGCCTTCACTGGTTTCACATCCTTATAGGCCTTGAACTCAGTCCTGGCATCAATTGAAGAAAAATATAAAACATAAAGGTTTATGTGCTGCACTTTTCATTTATCTAAATAATAACAGCACAAACCCAGAGGTACAACGTTTACTGAAGGAAAAGGCATCAAATTCTCTCTGCGTGTTCTCCATGCTGCCTTATTGAAATGTGATCAGAGTTGCACTGCATATTATACAACATTCAACTACTATAACCAATTAGGTTAAATTAGTCATGCTAACAAAATATCAAGTTAACAATGGGTGAGTTAATCAATATGTCAGGGTTTGGCTCGGTATGGATTGTGATTGGCATATTGGTCTGTCTATCTGCCATCTATACCACGTATCCCTTGACATTAGGCGAGAGGCGGGGTCCACCCTGGACAGGCGTCATCTTAGCATCTGCCCACGTTAAGATAAGATAACATAAAATAGGATAAGATAAGATATTCCTTTATTAGTTCCACAATAGTGAAATTTGCTGTGTTACTAATAATATTTACAATTTGATGTTTAGATTTGCTCCCTAAGCTCTGGAAGCTCTGATGTGGTAGCACACCTCTTTTTTTTTTTTGACACGTCCTCTGGGACTGGTAGAGTCAATAAAAAGCTGGAGTCGAGGCTTATGGACTTTTAAACATATCTGTGGATGCATGTCATGGATGTAACACGATCAATTAAGAGCATATTCAGTGCTTGTCTTTAGTAAATCAGCCAATTCATGAAATCAGCAACTGTAAAATAATATAGCTATTTAGTGAAGTAAACAGAAATACTCTACTGTTTTATATCTGAAAACAAAGGCCTTCTCCTTGTAGTGAAATTTTCAATGAGTCACTCTAGTACAACGATAAAGGTCGTGCGGCCTCACCTCATCTGAGGAGCAGGAATCTTACGTTTCCTATCCTTGATGTCTGTGTCATTCCTTAATGCTTCTGTTTATTACGACAACATTTGATTATTCATGTAACCTGATTACATTCTGTTCCATTGCTTTGTTGCACTTGTCAAGATTAGACAAATAAAGTAAGCTTGAATCTTATTTCTTAGTTAAATTGCGAAAGTTTCTATTTGACAATGACAATGAAAGCAACAGCATATGTTAATATTTGAGCAGGATGAGGCCAGCAGCTCTTCCTCTCGACCTGCGTGCATCCTGCATCCTTAATTCAATTTAGAGGAAGCCTGTGCAGAGAAACCATGTTAGATTACATTCAGGCCCTTTACTCTGCAGCTGGACTGTGCCGCAGGGATTTTATAGAGAGGAAAAAGCTGAAAATCAAAATCAATAGTGAAACATTTATCTGTGGGGATATCGCTTTGCTTTGTAAATCAATGGGGGTTGTAACATGAGGCCGTGCCACACCAAACACCCTGATGATGGTGTGTGAATGTCTGATCACAGGCTCCTGCTGCTGGGAAGGTTTTCAGAGATGTTGTGTAACTGAGGACACTCGATGATAGATCCAGAAATGATAGGAGCGAGTTAAGAAGGTATTTGTCCCCCACACATACTGACGGGTCTCACCGTCACTCACCTGTAGCTGCTGGAGGTGGACATCACCTCCTTTATCTGCCTGTTGAGAGCGTCTGCAGCTGCGCGGCCTTTCCTCTGCTCTGCGCTCACCTCTGCAGACACTTCTCCCTCAGACTTCTCGGCAGGTTTTCTCTCCGCTGACTTCTCCCTCTTCACGCTCCTCTTTGCCGCCTCCTTTGACTCCTTCTCCTGCATCTTCTCCTCGATCTCGCTCTTCTCCACACCGCTCTCGGCCTCGGCTGCAGGCTCCGGCTTTCCGCTCCCCGCGCTGCGCTCTGTTGTGGCGGCCGCAGCAGCAGCAGCAGCGGTGGGGCTGGGTTTGGGGATCCAGGGGTGGTCATGTTTTCTCGGTATAGGCCACGGTTTGTAATCCTTCTGGTACTGAGTCTCGTTGTTGAACGGGGCCGCGGAGGGGTGGTACTCGTTCCGGGGCTTGCAGCTGGGCTCGGGGCGCACTCTCCACGCCTTGAAGTCATGGCGCATAACGGATTCAGAAGAGCCATCTTTGCCCGCTGCGGCACCGGTCGCGGGCGGTGCCTTCCCAGCCTCCTGCTCGCCGGGGTGAGGCTGCGTTTCTATGGCGATGGCGCCCGCCCGCTGCTTCGGCTGCGGGTGATGGGACAGATGCTGCACGTCGGCCACATCCGAGTATTTGGTGAAAACCAGAGGCACCGCGATGTCCCCTTTGTCCAGCTCGGTCCAGAAGCGGTTGATGCAGCATGCACGCGTAATGCACGGCCATGCCATGATGGAGGCTGACTGGAGAAAGACGCACAGACAAAAACTCCAAATCTGAGGATGAATAAACGTCCTACTCACGTCTCTTTCTGCACGTTTCACCCTGTGGCCTCTCAGTTTCTGTCCAGTCAGGGTTTTTCCTCCTCTCAGCCTTTTATGTGATTCTCTACTGAGAGTGAATCTCAATCTTTGCCCACTTGAGCCCCCTCCTCTCTCCTGCAGGCTGCTGGTTCTTTACTCAAGTTTAGACTTTGCGCTTTGCCGTGGAGCGCACATTGCTGTCTGGTTGCGCATCGAGGCGACCCCACCCACATTTGTGTGATGCCCGGGCTCTGCACTGAGTGTGCACGGTGAACTGTCACCTGAGCTCGTCACCGTCTGGCCAGCAGAGAGGGAGGAGACACTGTTAACCCCTGCCGCGACACACAATGTCAGCTCAGCATGGCACACTGGATGTAGCAGAGGCCTTGTGTTGTTCCATGAGGAGGAAATGGCCGATAATGCAGCAGAAAACCAACAAAAATGACATAAACCTCCACATGTGCATATATCAAAATGCAAGAATCAAACGTTGAGGTTTGCAATGATAGAGTTTACACAATGTGGTCTTAAGAGATAGATAAAACAATGTTTGCATGCACCTGGGAGACAACAAAAAAGATGAGCAAAATTGTGAGAAAACTAAATAAGAAAAAACATTTTGGCACAATCTGAGTAAAATGTGTTTTAATGTTGTTCTGTATATTTTTTTAATTCAAACAAACTGAAACTAGGCCTGTTTGTGAATATTTTAAGACACAGGAAAACAAACTACATCACCACAAACATTTAAAACATGAACCAGCTAAATCCAGACTTTTTAATACACCACAAGAGAAACGTGTAACTTTACAACATATCAGGAGATGTTTGAACGGTTTCAATGAGAACACATCAACATCCTGGGCTATATAACTATCAAAAACACATCACACTGTGTATAGAGGGAAGAATGGCTTCCGGCTGGCTTCATTCAGCTGATATTGGTGTAACTGCTCCCTCTTGTGCTCCTCCTGCCTCACAGTCACTTGAAAAAAACCAACCTTGTCCTATAGATCAACAGGGCTGCTTGTGTTCATCATGTGGTTGGATTTAAAAAAACACACAATAAAGAAAAGCTTCGTGTGAATGAGCTACAAAATATTATTCATGAAGATTCATTATTACTAAAGTCTAACAGCCCAACACAGATGCAAATATTTGATATTTACAGATCATTTTTTGTGGTGTATCTGACTTAGAAAATATTTTAATGTTCTCTTCCTGACAAATTTACAAGATAAGGCTAGGATGCATCTCAACACACTAATGTTTCACCACATACAATAAGAGCAAAGGTTTGTTTTAAGGTCATTACGATTTCGTCACAGAATCTTCCTCGGGCGCCGCTTCCTCAGCTTCAGGGTCATCCTCTGGATAGAGTCTGCAGTACTTGTCTACCATGACGTCCAGGTCGTGTTTGACATGAGTGTTGATGTTGAGCATTGCGAGGCTTTTGTTCCACTGCTTGGCGGGCATGCTGGCAAGATACGCCTGCAGCCGCTCGCTCGCTGTGTCGCTTTTGTTTTCTTCCAGTTTCAGCACAGGTAAGGTGGAGAGCACCTTGAGGAAGGAGTTCACGTTGGGAAAGAACTTGATGTCTGGAAGCTGCAGGGTCTCGTGGATGGTGGTGGGCAGGCGCACCTCTTTGCCCCTGTGCTTCCACTTGATCCTCCAGCAGTGCAGCTCTGCCGGAAGCGTGTCTGGGTTGGGGAGGTCGTTGCGGTAAACATCTGCGTAGTTCTCCTCTGTGGTGTTGAACTTCATCTGGCCCATGACAGCAGGGACCAGTGACAGGCACTTGAGAGCTTTGAGGTTGGTGTCGGAGAACATGTCCTCCACTTCCTGCATGATGCCACGGATGACAGGGACAGTCACATACTCCTTAAAATACGACTCTGTTTGGATTTCATCCATGTCAGCTATGCGCTGTTTCCGGAGGAAAAGCCTCGGGACCTTCACAGGAATCTCCATTACGTTGGCCACGCTCACGGCCTCCTCATACCAGAATTCATGGTAGACATCAATGTTATCATTGACCTCGTTTAGTGAATGCAGCACAGCAGTTAGACTGTTGGCAGCAAAGAACACATCCAGTGTTTCTCCTTGGAGATTCCTCCCAAAAGCTCTGGTGAACGTGAGAACATTCTTTAGGATGACGACGGTGACAATGATCTCAAAGTCGAACAGAATTTCTGTGATTGAATATGCATCTGCTGTGACGCTGCCGGCAAACTTTCCATCGTCATTGTCCCGAATGTTTTCCATGCACAGCAGTAGGGGCGGCAACAAATCCAGGAATACGTCAAAAGCACTGTGTTGCTGCATCCATCCTGATCCACAAGCCTGTTTCACTGCAGTGACCTTGTCTTCATTCTTCTGGTAGTGAGAGGAGACAGCGATATCCAGCTCCTCCTGGGTGAGCGGCGTTTTGAAGAAAGCATCCACCCTCCTCAGAATCTCCATGACAACCTGCACATTTGGAAAAGGCAGACTGCTGGCCAGGTGGACGTTCAGTGCCATGTGGGAGCACGGCATGCTCAGAAGCAGGGGATACTTCTCCATCAGTAACACTGCCACAGCTTTCATCTTGGTGGTGGAACTCCCAGTGGCCTTGTGGGCCTGACCACGGCAGTCCTCCATGCTGAGCCCCCACCGATCAGTCAGCTGGGCCTCCAGTCGCTCCACCAGCGAGGCCTCATCTCCATCGAACAGCACAAAGTCTAAAAACTCCTCCCGGAGAACGTTCTGCTGATTCACGAAGCGTAAAAACAGAGGAAGGTGCCTCTCGTTGGAGAACTCTACGAGGTCGCCCGTTACGATGGAGAAGAAGCGACTCTCTCTCACTTCCATCAGCATCTCCTCCCTCACCGTGTTCTCACACACATCCAGCAGCTGACTCTGCTGGGTCACAGAGAGGTAGTCTGTGTTCACAGCTGTCGCCTCAAAGCGCCTCTTCAAAGCTTCATCTCCTGCATTCATGCGGTAATCGAGCAGGGCCTGGAGGTTGTTGGACTTGCGCTCAGGTTCTTTTGCTTGGTCCGCCACTAACGGGATGCTCTGTTTTGCCAACATGACCACGACCTCAAACAAGGATCTCAGGTATTCACGGAACTCCTTCTCCTCTGTGGACAGCTGAGGTTCTTCCTCGTTGGTGCTCGAGCTGTCCTCAACTGCTGCATCTTGTTTGGACACAAGCTGCTCAATGGAGGACGCCACTGAATAAAGATACACAAAAAAATGACAGTGATCGTTTTAAGTAAATAGAAACCACATAAAATTAGAATGCAATTATTTTTACATTAGTGATGAATAAATTGACTCTTTACTTACGTCTCCTTTCTTTAATCTTTCTTATATCTTCTTCAGTCTGGAATTACAAATGTAAGTCAACACACAAATTATGAAGATTAAGATTTTAACATTTAAAACAACCACGACAGGTGAACTTCGATTAGTAAACATTTGTCTTACAAGCTCTTTAATCCGTTTGCGATGTCTGGTGTGAGGATTTTTGAGATGGCTCGTCAGATCAAATATTGTTGGAATGGCTGTATCCTTCAGTACAGTCCTATAGGGGCTCTGAAATACAATTAACACACTTAAGTCACTTCTTGGGAATAACTGCTGCCAGGCTGATTGGTGACGGATCCTGTCAGATACTCACAGTTTTGCAAACCATGGCTGGATCGAAGTGTTTGGCGCATAATCTATAGTGCTTGTTCAGCTGGTCCGAAGTTTTCGCCTCGAGATCTGCTCTGCGGCAGTTCTCTACCCAGATTCGACATCTACAAAAGAAAAGCAGAAAATCATTTAGGTCAAGTTTGGAAAAATGTATCAAGGCAGTTGTTGAGTCTGCTCGAGCTGCTTGTGAATTTGTCTAGATTACGTTCATACTGGTCAAGTGACATAGGTAAAAGTTACAACAAGTGCAACTAAACAGAGATCAGACCAACTGTGAAAGCACTGACAGAACTAAATGCTCATCGTAAAAATGTTTTCTTGCTTTGTATTGAACCACGACAGACTTGGTTGTAATCTTATGTAACTGCAGTGTAAAGTGCAGACCACATTAGCTGAGCCCTTTAACTCGATGTAACATTGGTGTTCATGTTGTAGGCCACACAACGTCATGAGTAACCTATGGAGCAGCAAGTAAATACTCTGACAGGGTTTAAAAGCTGAGCCTTGATATGCAACGTGAACACTCAAATTGAAACAGGTGAAGATTAATATGCACCAATTTTTAAAAACCAGTAAAAACAGATACTTTCCTTCAAAGTGTTTACACTGAAGCTGCAGTTATTAAAATGATAAAATGATCATGTCTTAACATTTGCTTTTTTAAAACATCCCAAATAAAAAGGTTTGAAACTTTTCTTTGGTAATAGCTCATAACAAACTGAGCTCTATTTATTTCAACTAGTCAAGTCAACTTTATTATCAACAATGCCATATGTGCAGGACATACAGAGAATTGAAATTGCGTTTCCCTCTTATCCCCAGTGCAAACAGCATTAAACATAAAATATAAAATATAAGTAAGTGAAAGATATAAACAGACAGTGGCAAATCTAGACGATATAAAGAGTATAAATATGGCAAGTATGGCGGGATGAACAGAATTATCAGTGGAATATAAATATGGCAATATGGAAGTATTTACAGAATTACAATATAAATATGGCAGTATTAACAGAATTACCAGTACAATACTATGATTGTATACTCACAGTTCCCATCTTAATCTGTTTATCCAACATTTTATAGAATAATGGATCAATAGTTGGAGCCCCTCTAGTAGTTTACATTGGGTGCTGAGAAGTTAAGGACAATCTGAACAAGAAAACATTCAACTGCATTTCAATCCCAGTTCAGTTTTTGCTTCACTTCTCAGCCATCGGACGGAAAGTGACGAATAAATCGCTGTTGATGGTCGAGCGAGTACACATGTTAGTCAACGTGTGTAGCGTTACATAAATAAGTCAGTCAATT